GTGGCACGTTACGTTGAAGAGTGCCATTTATGGCACTCATTTGATGAGTTTTTCGGTTGTTTTTACTTTCTTTTTATAGCTAACTTTCTAAATAAATTCTTGGTTTTGTTCATTTTCTCTTAGTTTCCTTATTCTTTCTTATTTTGTGCTTTTTGTCCACTTTCGTGGATTTTCTAGTGTTTCTCCTTCTTTTGTTCTCTTTTCGTGGTTGTAGGTATTGTACAAGGTTCGAGTCTTGATATTGGTGGCTTACCAAGTTGTAAGATGCCTTTGGAGAAAGCTTATAGCATTAGGAAAGCTCAAGAAGTAAGAAAGTGGCATGCTCCAAGTTCTAGCTCCTGCGCTCTTAAGCCGCGCTCTCATGAGATCATGGTGTTGAACCCACCGTCAACTCAATTTGAATCTGTCGTACTTGGTGACTATTATGAAGATATTGAGTGCGCACACGAAGACGCATTTGCAAGTGCACGAAGCGTCGAAGGAACCCAAAAGAGCGCGGGCGCGCACACCTAGCGCAGCGAGGGCGTGCAGCTCTCGCACGGGCGCGTTTCCCTGTTTTCCGGGTTATTTCGAATTCGTATTCCCGCCTCCTATAAATACCCTTTTATAGCCGATTTTTGTAAGAAGTTTTAGAAATTATTCTCTTCATAATTTTAGCTAGGTTGAGAGTTTCTCTTTCTAGTTTTAGGGTTAGTTTTAGGAGTAGATTTAGAGAGAGAAAGTGAGAGATTTCAATGGTGATTTGAGAGATTGATGATGCAAGGGTGACAATTGTATTGAAGATCTTCTCAATTATCAATGAGCATTTCTAACTCTATCTCATCTTATTTCTTTGTTTAATTTCATGATTGTTTGATTTGGTTTTGATGATTGAATCTCGATTAGTGTAGTTGTTCCTCATATTTGTTGATTCTTGATTTTATTTACTTGCTTGTTGATTAGATGATGATTCTTGAGTAGTTGTTTTGCTAGGGTTTGGGTGAAACTTGTATGAGTGATTGTTTGTGATGGATTTGGGAATTATGTTGATTGATTGTTGAGATTAAAGTGATTAATGTAAGTTTGCATGCATGGGTGTAGTTTGATTAGGCCTTGAGAACTATTCTAGATTGCATTGTGATTCCTAATGACATGACCACTTGATTTAGGTTTTGCAATTGTTGATTGGTTTGGATTGTTATTCTCTTAGGTTGTTATTCATAGAGGAAACCTAGCTTAACGATTAGGAGATAGCTCTTTGATTCCAATTGATAGCTCTTATCATTAGTCTTCACAACCATTGATTGGCATGACCTTCCCAAGTTGTTGCAATTGTCGTGATTACTTGTTGATCCCCATTCCCTAGTGTTTCATTTGTTTGCTTCTTTGTTTTGGTAGTTGAATAGTGTTACCTTTTCACCTTTGACTTTAACCTAGCTTAGGCGTTGATTGAAAGCATTTAAACATAACCGTTCCTAGTGGTTCGACCCTTAACTTACCTCTATACTTGTATATAGGTTTGTTAAGTGATTATAAATTTTGTTTGGCTCTAGGGAGGATTAGTTAACGACCTGGTTCACCCTACGTCACACGTCACCCCTGTAAGGGGCAAATGATTTGGGTAAAAATACGCAGGCCATGTGGCCCTATCGGAAGGTGACACGTGTCACACTAGGAGAGGTCCAAAAAGGACTAATCACTAGTTGACACGTGGCATCCCTAATTAGCAGGGAAAAATACGGCCTTCAGGGCCCAATTCCCGAGAAAGCCGCAAAGCGGCGCAACCCACCAATGTAGGTCAAGATGACCTATGGGCACATTTACCAATGACCCTATAAATAGGGAGATTTACCCCATTTTGGGAGCACATTCATTTATTACAACACAATTAATTCTCTCACATTAGAGAAAACACCTGATCTCAGGATCCGAGAAGATCTACTATTACTTTCCGCACTATTTACTTTTCTTCGACCGCTTCTAACTTGATCGTCGAAGGCAGAACTCCTACCAACAGGAGCTTCCGTTGTTTTGCAGGTACAACCGGCAAGGAATCCAGTCTTGGTGACGTAACTCTCCCGTAGGACACAAAAAACCCTGAAACATATATGCTCTTAGGTTAACTAAACAAGATGGTACACATTACTAATATTGTACTTTGGGAGTAAGCGACAATTAAGGTGGTTAAAAACTTTATTTCCTAGACCTGGCAAATGGGTCGTTTAGGTCGGGTATGGGTTGGGTTATTTCGGGTCGGGTCAATTTAGGGTCAACAAATAATCGGGTCGGGTTAAGTCATTTCGGGTTTCAGATCAAGTTCTAGTCAACACTTCGGGTCGCTTTTGGGTCGGATCAAGTTCGGGTTGGGTCGTTTTGGGTCGTGTCAATTCGGGCCGGGTCAATTTTCGGGTCGATATATCGGGTCAAGTTCGGGTCGGGTCAAGATCAGGTTAGGTAATTTCGAGTCGATACTTTGAGTCAAGCTTTATTAGTAGATTATTTTTTATACGGAATAATTATTATTGCTTTTAGAGAAAATATGGTTGTTAGTGTTAATATCACTGTTAGGGTTTTTTTTTTTAATTTTTTACGCACTAATATGATATAAAAAAATATTATTAGAGACAATACAAGCATTTATAAATACATCACGTATTATTCTACAAAAAAAATTACTCGGATCAATCCGGATGCCTGAATAAACGGACCGAATTCGGACCTTAAGATGTGAGTCGGATTCGGACTCGGACTCGAACTCGGATCAACCGAATTTGGAATCCAGATTCGGACCCGAGTCCACGATCCGAAATTAAACGGATCGGATTCAGATTTATCCACATTCGACCTAAATCCGATCCATTGTCATTCCTATTTGCGGTTATTTTCAATTTGGGTCTACTCGGGTCAAGTATTATTTGGCTTAAATTGGTTAGGGTCATTTTAAGTATAAGGTAATTTTAGTTCGGGTCACTTCGGGGTTCGGGTCTGTATGGGTTAATTAATTCAAGTTAAATTCAGGTCGGATCACTTTGGGTATCGGGTCAACTTCGGGTCCGGTCACTTCGGATCGGGTCAATATCACTTCGGGTCAGGTTGATTTCGAGTTTCAGGACAATTTCGGGTCACAGTTTTTGGGTCGATTTTGGGTCATGGGTCGGATCATTCGGAGTGGTTCATCAGGTCTAGGTCAAGATTGTCAGGTCTAATTTCTTCCTGATTTCAAAAGATTTTAAAATCGATTCTTATCACCCGCACTTATGGCTCTGAGTACCAAAATAAATAAATATATTATACTATAAATAATCCAAATTTTATTATATTATTCCGAAGATCACAAATATTTTGTCCCATCATAAAATATCAAATGTTATCACTTTTTACAAATTTACAAACATACAACACAACAAAACTTCCATTTGCCTTATTTGGATACGGAAAGAGCTTGTACAGGTGGGAAAAAATAATGAACTATCCAATGTTGTTAAAATCGCGATCCGGATCGTAGGATCGTACGATCCTACGATCTTTATATCATCAAGCGACTTGAATCGTGCTTAAGATCGGATTTGCAAAGAATCGGGCATAGGATCGTTAGAATCGTATAGGATCGGTGGGATCGCGATTCTATGTCGATTCCAACGATCCTACCCAAATGCTTAAAGTTATGTGTTTAGTCAGCGAAACAAACTATGGGCTGGCCCATTAATATTCTAGCCCCAAGTTAGACAAAACATAATGTAAAAACCCTTTTCCCATCCACTTTCAACAGTTTCACGACATTCAACCCCATTTTCACCATTTTCGCCATCTTCACAGACATTCAACTCCAACCCAAATCCCCATTTTCACCATTATCATATTTAAGCACAAGCATAAACTTATCTTTTTGCTACAAGCTTGCAAATAATCTAGCTGCAAATCTGGTATGTCGTATGTTCCTAAAGTAAATCCTAAATTATGAATTTTTCAATTTTTCTTTTTTTTTTTGCTTGGTAATTTAGGGATTGTTTTTGGTAAATTTGCATGTTCTTTGTTCGATTTTCTATTGCTATTCAATTTAGGGATTTTGTTTAGACTTTAGATTTTTTATCGAATTCTTTTTTGTACTGCTATTCAATTTAGGGATTTTCTACTGCTATTCAATTTAGGGGTTTTGTTTAGACTTTAGATTTTGTTCGATTTTCTACTGCTATTCAATTTAGGTTAAAGTGCTCAATTCTTTTTTGTATCGAATTTTCCCTTTATATTTGTAGGTTGGTATTATTTATGCGCCTCTGTTAAAATTGATCCTTCGAATTATGTCAGCCACTGCAAGCTCTATTAAAAAGAAAAGGAAAAATTCTGCTGGTAATAGAACTGACCCAGGCTGGGAACATGGTACTGAGGTAGTGAAAGTAAGAAAGTAAGATGCAAATATTGTGGTGTTGTGCGTGCTTGTGGTGTTGGCAACAACTTTGAAAATGAGCCAACTAGTACAGGAGGAACTGATGTTAGAAGTGATGATGTTGATTATGGCAATTTGAGTTTCGAATATGATGATTGATGAATATATTTTAATTAAAAGTAAGATCTAAGTGTTTTGTAATTAAAACTATTTTATGTCATTATGTGTATTATTTTGTCATTGAACTCATAACTACTGCCTTGTTCTCAAGATTCTTATGCACAAATTTATTGAGAAAAATGTCGAAATATTAGTTATAATTAGCTTTTTAATGAAGTATCGCCTTTTTAATGAGTAAATCACCAAATATTTGCATTATTAGTCTTTTTTTTTTACAAAAAATATGATCCCACAACAATTTTATACATGTACTATGTCTTAAAATTGAAAATTGGTAGGATTGTGCAATCCCACGATCCGATCCTGATAGGTCTTTCCGATCCAAAGTAGAATCCCGATCCTGATAATATTGGAACTATCATGAATCGGTAAGAAATATAGACATCTTCCAAACCACACTGACGAACAATCTTCAGGCGATAAGTAACAGAAATTACTCCAAGTACTGAAGATCAAATTCACACAATTCCAACTATATATTAAGCCATTCCAAACATGGACACAGGCCCCAGCAAAATTTGGCTGGGTAGCGATCTTTTAGATAAACCTCTCTGCTGAAACCAATAATATAGAAACTGAAGGTACGACTAGAATGAGACATGGTGATGCGAGTCACTGGCACAACAGATATGGTATGCCGTTCACAAATGACCCTAGCAGTAGGCTGAACAGGAGCCCTATCAGCAATAACTTCAGACGAAAATTTGTTTAGAAAGTAGGAATCCGCAAAATAGGCTGGTGTACATTGATAAGCTTGCATATTGCATAGTTGCTCTCCTTTAGCTCTATGGAAGACATCATCAGGTACTGAGGCCGCTCCTTTTGTAGCGCTTACTTTTCGAGTTGAAAGTGTTTTCCTAAAAATATACAAACGATTTACATTTTTTGGTCAAACTTATGGAAAATTTGTCAAAAATGACACTACTCTCAAATTTTGTGAGAAACTACCTTGATTTTATGTTGACTACCAAGTGTGATCTATTTTCCCCTTAATGTGTCCCTATTTCCTCCCATCTCTCAAAGTAATTATAATTTTCAATTGAACTTAACTCAAAATTTTGATTAACTGATTGGTAATATCCCAGAACTTCAAATGTTAGACATTAACCAACACACCAAATTCTGTCAAGTGGTACCTTATCACACCAAAAACAAGACCTAAGGTATTCATCAAAAGATTTTTTCATCTTTGATTAACTGGTTAGTATTATCCCAGAACTTACTTCAAATACAAAGAAAATTAGCCAACACACCAAATTCCTTCTAGTGATACCTTATTGCAACAAAAAAGACACAAGGTATTTTGATAGAGTACAAGATTTTTTTCATAATGTAGTTTTCAGCAAAAGTATATTTTTATAAGGTAATTTCGAACATGTTTTCCTAAATTTATTATTTGTTTTCATGAAATGTAGGGAGAAAAAAAAATACAAGAAATGATCTTCAAAAAGTGGCATAACACATTGGAAAGCTTCACCATATATCACAGAGTATTACTTCAACATAATTTTCAAGTTTTGGATGCTACTTGCTATAATTATACATGGAAAAAAAAAAATATTAGAACCACGATCAGATAAACAGGCCAAATATATATTATTTTTACAACACACACTAGCAAGCAGCAAATTAAGGGAAACATTTGTGTAAGCGTTTTACCTTCATAAAACCACTTTTGTGAGTTACTGCAAATATGTGCTAGTTTCTCTCTCTCCTTGGCCCAACCCATTAATAAAGTAGTCTTAAAATGATAAGACGGCTTCATTTAAATAGTTGTAGCTAATTATTATTCAAAAGTCAACTTTTTTAAGTTATATTGCAGGGAATGATCAATCATCAGCAATAATTAACATAAGCGTGGATAGGTATTTATAAGCTTCTCCAATCCTATAAGACGAGGTTTCACACTAAAACAAAATAAAATAAAATGCTCAAACAGATAGTAAAGTAGCAAACATTAGTTAGTATGGGGATAAAAGAGAGGAATTTATAAGTAATAAGTATTACTAGAGAAAGTGATGCTAGGAAAATAACTCAAAAGGAATAAGAAGCTACTTACCATTTAATGATTGCAATACTTCGAGCAAGAAGAGAGCCACTACCTTGACATACAGTGCATTTTATCAATCCACGAGAGCTGCAAATAGCACAAGGTATCTTGCCTTTGCCATTGCACTGCAAGCAACTGTAAAATTGCATGCAATGTGTGAATGAAACCAGTATATAGACAACAAAGTTAATGAAGATTATTTCCTTTAAGAGTGATCATATTTTATTTTCAAAAGATATCTAAAACTATAAAATGCTTACATTGTGTCAGACCCATCTCTATGAGCAATTAAGCCCCTTCCATAACAAGAATTGCACGGATTCATCTGATTTTCTTTGTAATAACCAAGTTCTTGATCTGCATTGCACGTCGGACAAGGAGTATCCCCTCGACCATCACAACCTGTAAAATAATTAATGCTATGATCTCATAGTGTCATTGCATTTCTATTCCAGAATTGATTACAAAAACAGTGGACATATACCAGGGCACTTCTCAATGGCTTCTGAATGTGGAACTTTGATTCTTGTTTCTTTTTCTGGTGTGAATAGAACAGGGAACTGAGACCTAAGGTCCAATTCCCAAATGCCGGGTTCAAGGCCACTATTTTTTCCATCAACATTGCCACCATGATAAGGAAGGCGTTCATTAATGACTTCCCTCTCCTCTATAAAAGTATCCAAAGTCCCTACATATACATTGCAGTCTTCCACCATCTGTATCTTCCATGTTCGAGCAGGACGACTTCCCCAGCAACAACGATGACCAACATGATCAGTGAGAACCTCTCTTATCTCCACTTCATCCAATACTTGTCTGTGCAGAAAACTCAGCCATGTAAAATACAACCAATATCACAATATTCGTTTGAAAGTACAACTAAATAAAAATCCATATGACCTCTTATAGGATTGAATATAATACTCTTCAATATATATCAATAACTTACTAATGCAATTACAACTCTGACCTGATTGATCAATTATACACTTATCATTAAATTGATATCATGTATAACTTTGGCTAGTAGTAAAGCTAAACTATGGTAAAAATGCTTCAGTACCAATATGCTAACTAACTTATCTAGTTTCTCGTAAAGGATTTAGAAATTATCAATATAATATAGAATAGACATCTCTTCATCATTGGGTGTTGCTCCATAAATAATAGGTACCCTAATATAGTCTTACAGGCACCTAAAAATAACATAATAAAACGCTGATGTTTTGCCCATTAGATTCCGACTAAGGGAATTTTACATGGCATTAGATATGCATTGCACTCATGATTACTGTATATATTGTGATAGAAAAGAGCATTTTAAACGCTTGGGATAGATTATTCAAGATAATCGTGAGATTGATGAAGATAATGTTTACCAGGTGGCTTAAAAATGGAGTTTTTAATTTTTCTTGAATGCTCTTTCGTTTGCTCACTTTACTCACCTTTTTCAAAATCTTTCAAATGATTATTTTGTTATGTCCTTTTCTTTATATCGTATGATTCCTTATGACAATTCATGTTAGCCGACCCCTAATCATTTTGGGACTAAGGCTTTGTTGTTGTTGTTGTAGAGACAATTTATATTGGGGACAGATTTAGGCCAAGCTGCCAGCTATACTCAATAGAACAGAATGTTGGTAAGTGCAGTGCACTAAAAGCTGTAAAAATTCCTAGGAGGATGAGATTAATTTACTGAAGAAGAATTGGAAAGAGTTTGTAGGGCATGATTGGCCTAACTGAACAGAGAACATGGCCCTTAATTACCAATGAAGGTGTAAACACCAGCCTGTGAATTTATGACTATTATGCATAAGAAACATTTTTTAAACAAATAATAGAATTGCAAAGGACAAGCAGCTTAAGTTTCCTTCTGCATCGCTTTTAGTAGTGCTACACTGGTAATAGATCATTTTTCCTTACCCATGTACATTTACTTATTGGTTCACTAAGTACATCAACTATAATTAAAATCACAATAAAGTGAAAAATCAAACGATAATTCTCATTTTAAACCCATGGAATTGCACTTTCAATTGGTAATTACAAGAAAGATCTTATTAGTGATAACCCTCTACACTTGATTAATATCACAAAAACTGAAACTATTAGCGATAACCCTCTACTCTTCATTTATATCACCCAAAAAAAAACAAAAAAAAAAAAAGAAAAAAAAAATTATTAGAGGTAACCCTTTATTGACAACATTAGTGGAACTTCTAATAATCTAAGTTAGAATTACACCAATACTCCTACATAACCCCATTTTCTCTCCACTTTATTTCTTATTCCATCAATTTCTCTGTCTTCTCCATAATCACAACAGCTTCTCACTTTTGCACCTCTGACAGTCCAAAACTCACCACATGCAAACCCACCCTACTACCTTCAACAAAAGCAGCGCCAACATTTGCCACCAAGACCACTAGCAATGCAACCCTTTCAACTCTACGCTTTTGCCTTGCCACTATCCAACTTCGACACTGTCCCAAGCTAATTCAATGATCTATTTTTATCTCTTATCTTTAATTCCCCATCCCCCTCCCCTTTAATAAGAAATTTAATCTTTTTATACGCATTTAGACGACTAAAATTAATTAAATAAAAACTTTAAAAATTGATAGGTCAGGTGATCAAATATGAAGAGGGGAAGTGGACCCCTCTTCTGACTTCTCCATCCATCATTGTTGATGGTTGTTGAAGCTTAAATTTTGATTGACAGACAATTTAAGACAATAACGCAGAGAGGGAGAATAAGAGGAGAGAAAAAGAGGAGCTTTGAAAGAGGAGAAAGGAAGGGTGGATGAGGAACAAGGAAGAAGAGAGAAGACGGCTTCCCTAGATGTGTTCACGTAATACTATCTACCTAAACAGATTAAATGAACGCTTAAATGCTCATTAATGCTAAAATTTTTAAAATATAATCAAACAAGATTACCACTAACACTACCCTTTTTGTTATTACTAAATCAAAAGTGATGAGTAAGGTTACCAATGAAAATTTCCTACAGTTGGATAGAAATTGCAAGATAATTATAGATCTATACACTTTTGTCACACAAAGGTGCATTTTAAGGGCTATTTCTCTGTTTGATCAAGTATCCTATATTTTATCAGTTAATTCTACCTCCCCACCCCCCTCTCTTGTTTTACTGTCCCTCCTTCCCTTTCCCTATGTAGTTCAACTATAATAAAGGAGAAAATGGAGCAAGATGAACCCATAGGAAAAGAGGTAGTGGTGACCATATATGAATTTTCAATAAAAATGAGTTTTATAATTCTTAATTAAAATGAAAACACCATCACAACATCCGAATCAAAGCATTAATAGTGAAAATTAATAACAAAATTTTGAAGTCCAAACACCAGGAATTATTAATAGAAAGTGCGATTTTAGAATTAACTACCAACACATAATGTGTAATTCCAGCTACAAATATACCTTTGAAACACATTGACATCTCTGCCACAATCTCTTCCATAACCATTTGGTTGTTCAATAGCTTGTTCTACAACAAGAGGTTAACATTTGGATTAAATTTTTAAAAACAAAAAAAATACAAAAAAAGAAAACAAAAGCACATTTACTTTAAAAGAGTACATAGCCCAACCTCTGTTTGTGTGTGTGTGTGGGGGGGGGGGTGGTCTGGTGAAAACCATAGCATAAAACGAGAGATAATTTGCAAGCAAAACTTTAGCATGTTATACATTAATGAGATTATTTCTCTCCTCTCATATCTTTGTGAGCGTATTAATTTGTGATACATAATCTTCATCTAATTTTGTGTGAGATTGAAAATTTAAAAGCTTGAATTCTTTAAACCTTGTGATTGATAAATAAAGTATTCATATGTTTCTTCTATATCCTTTATTTTATCCCAAAACTCTGAGCATCTCAAAAAGTGAGAAATTATGATTATTTGATTGATTAGATAAAAATAAATAAATAAATAAAAAGAAAAAAAGAAAAAAAAAAAAAGAAAAAAAAGCACCAAGTAGTATCTAATGCTAGAATCCCGGGTTGGTGATGTTTGACATATGATCAATGGAGAATCTGTGTAGTACTAAAAAGAAACAGTCCCCTAAATCAAAATTTTGTACCACTACAATAAAAGGCTGAGTGGTACAATCACTACAATGTAAACATCGGGATCAAGCTATTTCTCAAAATTCTAAATTAGCTAAGGATAAATAAATTCAGCAATGTCTTTACGGCGTGAGATATTTAGCTTCTGGAAACATAGAAAGCGCTTAACATGTGGCTTAATTTCATGAATGTTTCCCTGATGTTATGGGTAGCAAGTCTCCAGCATGCCTACACAAGTCTATGTCATAGTGTATATAATTACTCATACTAGGCAGTGTTTTATGTCTGTTGCCCCAACCCGTATCTCATCTCAGGGATTCAAGCGTCTCATAGTTGGTTTGCACTCGTCCTGTGATAAAGCACTAACATACCACCTGATCCACCCGTGCTAGCCCCAATATCCCAAACACTTTTAAAGTTTTAAGTATTTATTTGATCAGCTGACTAACAACAAAAGTTAACTAAAATTGGTATCAAACTTTGAAGCACTGACTTTATAAAAGCTAGTGGAGGATGATGACGAGGAGCCGTTTGGAGAGGCGGAGGTGGGAAAGCCGGTGGTGGAGCCAACTGAAATTCCGGCCCTGTGTTCCGTTGAGGGAATTTCTAATCCTTGCACGATGAGGGGGACGGTAAATCAGGTAGGAGAGATAGTCATGGTGGACCCTGGTGCGACACATAATTTTGTGTCAACGGCTAAGGTGGAGAATTAAAGTTGAAGGTGGCCGATACGGGGGAGTTTGGGGTTTCACTGGGTAACGGTGAGATGATTAAGGGGATAGGAGTGTGTAAGGGAGTTCGAATTAAGTTTGATGGGGGATTGGAAATTAAAAAGGATTTCCTGCCTCTTAACTTGGGTAATGCTGATATTATTTTTAGTGTGCAATGATTAGAGAAATTAGGGTCAATGGTGATGAATTGGCGCACTCATGTTATGAAATTTCAGGTAGCAGAAGTGTCGGTGTCCTTAGAGGGGGATCCTGGCCTCGAGAGATCACAAGTGTCACTTAGGGCCATGATTAAAGCAGTACCCCGTGAGAGAGGAGGGGTGATTGTCGAGTTGTGTAGAGTTAAAGGAAGGGTAGAGGAGGAGAGAGAGCACAAGGATGAGGGAGTTCCGAAGTTTTTAAAGGAGGTTATAGGCGAGTTTTAGGGTGTTTTTGAGGCCCTAAAAGGGCTGCCACCTTCAAGGGGCACGAGCATGCCATTAATCTGAAAGTGTGAGGCCCTTTAGGTACCCCAAAGGATGAAATAGAGAAATTAATTAGAGAGATTTTGGAGGTTGGGATAATCAAACCCTCAACAAGCCCGTTTTCAAGCCCGTATTGTTTGAGAAAAAAAGGATGGGTCGTGGCGTTTCAGCGTAGATTACCAAGCACTTAACAAAGAAACCATTCCCGATAAATACCCGATACCCATCATTGATGAGCTCTTAGATGAGCTGTTTGGAGCTACTGTTTTTTCGAAACTGGACTTAAAGGGCAGGGTAACATCAGATTTTAGTGAAGCCTGAGATTCTCATAAAGCCGGCGGTTCTGCGTAGATTACGAATTTCTAGTAATGCCCTGCGGTTTGACCAACGCGCCGGCAACATTTCAATTACTAATGAACGACGTGTTTCGGCCGTATTTGAGAAAATGTGTTGATATTTTTTGACGACATCTTGGTTTACAGGGAGAATGTGGAGGCTCATGTGGAGCATATGAAGTTAGTGATGAAGAAATTGGAAGAGCATACGCTGTTTGCAAACAAGAAAAGTGCGATTTTGGTAAAAAACAAGGTGGCTTATTTGGGTCACGTCTCAGGAAGGTGTAGCGGTGGATATGGAGAAGATTAAGGCCATGCTTGAGTGGTCAGTCCCTAGGAGTTTGAGAGAGTTACGGGAATTCTTGAGTCTTACAGGGTACTATCAGAAATTTGTAGCTGGGTACGCACAAATTGCAAAACCATTGACTGAGCAGCTTAGAAAAGACAGTTATGGGTGGACAGAGCAAGCTACTCAGGCCTTTCAGAGGTTACAAGGAGTTATGGCAGCTGCTCCAGTGCTAGCGATGCCAAATCTCAGTCAGCCATTTGTTGTAAAGACGGATGCCTCTGGGTATGGGCTGGGAGCGTTGTTGATGCAAAATGGGCAGCCCATAGCTTACTACAGCAAGTTGCTCGGGGTCCAAGCCCAAGATAAGTCCATCTACGAGAAAGAGCTTATGGCCATATGTCTTGCGATCGTGAGGTGGAAGCACTATTTAATGGGTCGTCATTTCATAGTGCGTACGGTCAGCAGAGCTTGCGGTATTTAACCCAACAAACTCCATACGGGCTGATAACCAGAAGTGGGTGCGCAAGCTAATGGGGTACGACTTTGAGATTCAGTTCAAACCAGGGGCTGCCAACAGAGTGGCTGATGCCTTGTCTAGGAGGGACGGACGCGGTAGAGTTGGGAGCAATGATTACAAATCAGTGGGTGGATTGGGAAGAACTGCAGAAAGAGATTGCGAGGGATGTCAGATGAAAGAAGATTTGCAAGAAGGGAAGGAGGTGCAAACCGGGTTTGCCCTAGAAAATGGACAAGTCCTATTTAAAGTTCGAATGGTGATTCGAAAAAATTCAGCCTGGATTGTGGTTCTGTTGAAGAAATATCATGCTACACCCACGGGTGGGCACTCAGGGGAGGTAAAAACGTATCTGAGGTAAGCTTCGGAATAGTTCTTGATAGGAATGAGGAAGATGGTGGGAGAATATGTGCAGAGATCTGTGACCTGCCAGCAGAACAAAGCATCTCAACTAAGCCCTGCTGGGCTTTTGCAGCCACTACCACTGCCTACAGCCATCTGGGAAGACTTATCATTAGATTTCATCGAGGGCTTACCGAGGTCGAAGGGTTTTCACACAGTGCTGATAGTTGTGGATAGGCTCTCAAAATACGCTCACTTTATTGGGCTGAAACATCCCTTTAATGCCATTATTGTAGCGGAGGTTTTCATGAAGTGGTGCATTTGCATGGGTTTCCCTCTTCTATTGTGTCGGACAGAGATAAGGTTTTTGTGAGTCACTTCTGGAATGAGCTGTTCAACTTGCAAGGGACTGAGTTGAAGAAAAGTACAGTCTACCATCCACAAACGGATGGTCATACTGAAAATGTGAACAAGGTCTTAGAGACCTACTTGAGATGCTTTGCAGAAGAAAACCAAGCAGTGGACTGCCTGGTTAGCCTGGGCAGAATTCTCTTATAACACTTCCCCTCACATCTCTTCAGGGATGACTCATTTTAAGGTAGTCTATGGTCGGGATATGCTCAAATTGATTAAGGTGGGAGCAGGATAGACGACAGTGGGGAGCTTGGATGAGTGGTTACAAGAGCGGGACTTCATGATTGATGAGTTACATGTGAATTTACTGAGAGCTCAGCAGAAAATGAAAAATTATGCTGACAAAAAGAGAAGGGCTAAGAGACGCTTTGAGAAACTTGCTGCGAGGTACTATGGACCATTTGCAGCAGTGGTACAGCGTGTAGGCAAGGTAGCATATAACTTTGCTCTACCCCCCGACTGTCAGTTAAAACCGGTCTTTTACGTAGTCCAATCGAAGAAGTGTGTTGGCAACCACCCAACCACACCGACTATACCTCAGCAACTCACCCCAGAGCTGGAATTAATAGCTGAACCAGAAGAGGTCCTGGAAGTCAGGAAGAAGAAACAAGGCAGAGAGGCGGTGACTGAAGTTTTGATCAAGCGGAAAAATTTGCCCCTGTTTGAAGCAACTTGGGAAGAAGCAACAATGGTGCATGATCATTTTCCCTCCCTTCACCTTGAGGACAAGGTGAGACTTCTAGGCGGGGGAGATGCAATTGATGAGTCTATATTATATATATATATTTCCTGTCCCATGGTCATATTTGTGCTTATTTGAGCTCTGCGGAGCTATTTTTATTACTAATATACGTTTCCTAGTATTTTTGTAGAGTTGATATTATTTTGTAGGAATTTGCAGAATTATGATAATTCCTGATCTTATTGAGCCACTAAGAAGATATTGGAGTTTGATCGTATTTATGACCGTTATATGAAGCCCAAGACTGAGTTAAAGGAATTTGGTTCGATAAATAAGGGGCTCGATTAAGTGGAAGAGGTCCAACGTTCTCACAAGAAATACGGACATGCTAATTGAGAATTTGGGCTCAAGTTAACAAGTTTCAACTCCAAAGCCCAATTCCCACAAGAGAAGTCCAATTCGATCCCATCTGGTTGGGCCCGATCGGGCGGTGTAAGGCTCGATAGGGCGAGCTTGTTCACGCTGCTTAATACGTTGATGTTTAATGTTTTAAGTGGCTGGGCTTCGTTGTAAAAGCCCAATTGAGATTTGGTTATTAAGTCGGTGGGTTGGGTAGTATATAAAGCCTATTAGTAGGCTGACATAAGGGAGGTCAGCATATTTATTTTTCTTTAATTAGTCTTAGTTGGATTTTCTTCCGAAAAACTTGTTTTTAGAGTTAGTTTTCCAGCTTTTATTTATTAGTATTAGTTTGGTTGGCTACAACTTGTAGGATCATTAGTTTTTAGATTCTTTAGTTAATGTTAACTTTGTTTCTTATGTTTCATGTTGCTTTTCGATTTACGTTAGCTTATTCTTGCTTTCTTTTAGTTTTAGCTTAGTTAGGTAGTTTTAGTTTAGTTTTCTTTTCTACTTTTCATATCAAGATTTATTATTTTATTTTAATACTTTTATTCTTCTTAGTTTAATTATTAATTTTATTATGCTTTGTTTAATTGCTTTGATTAGTTTAGTTTTAATTATGCACGAGTAGTTTAATTCTAGGGTTCTTGGGGAACCATAAATAATATGAAAGGATGATTTATTATTGTTGATTGTTAATGTTTTGGGTTATTTTCCTATTGATTGTTTTAATGCTATGCAATTAGATTTGCACAGGTTTCATTGTATGAGTTATGCAATATTGATTCGAGATTCGAGAGATGAGAATTGATGTTTAGGCTTAGTTTCAATAGGCAGGTTAATTTATAAATGGTTAAGTCAAGATTCGAGAGATGCGATTTAATACCGCTAAGTTAATTCTGTGATTGTAATACGTAGCGAAAGCCCTTTATAATCTTGTTAATTTATGTATTGATAATTGATTGTTGTCTTTCATCCCGAAATAATATTATTTATTGGTGAACCTATACCCTAGACATTGATTTATTGTTATTCTTATAATTCTTAATCGCGTTAATTTACTTAGTTCCTTTAAATTAATTCACATAAAATCATATTGGTTACTTAATAATTTAGATTATAATAATTTATTAGGAATAAAAGAACATTGTTTCCCTGTGGATTCAACCCTACTTCCTTATCTATTTTAGTTAGTGGTTTTAGGAATTACTTTTGATTAGGTGATACGACTTTACCTTGTTAGCAATAGACCCTGTGAGACCACCAGTGGTCCTCACCTACTCCAGAAAGAAGGAACGCATTAAGAGGATCACTAACGGACCTCTGACTACAGCAGAGCAGCCAAATGCACCCACCCCAATCAACACAGATGGCAGCAAATGATGGGAAAGAGAGCAGCACATAAGACAAAATCAGCAGCCAGTATTAATCATCTAGGGAATTGCTTGTAAATATAAAAAGGGGAGAGAGAGATTGATGAGGTAGGTAAATTGTGAGTGAGTTTTGTGGAGATTGGTAACCTAAAGTTACCCTAGGAGAGTGGCGGGCTAAACCCACCGTTTGTAAGAAACTTTTGGCTTGAACATTTAATCAAAGATTCTATCTTTCTCCCTCAAATATTGTGATTTGTGTCTTTAGTTTGTGAACTGATCTGAATCCATTCCAGTCAAGTTCTCAAACAAGGAAAAAAAAAGAAGGATGTCGATGGAGGTGAATATTCAAGTCCCTACTTAGGGCTTACTTTAGGTGAGCAGCAGGGTTGACAGAAGAATGCGAACTTAATGAAGAAGGCTTAACTAGAGGAAACAAAAGAAACAAGGAAATTACAAGAAAAAATATATATTACTGCTTCAGACAGTCTTTCGTAGGCGATAATTCTTTCGCTTTTAATTGAGCATGCAAATTATGTTTTTAATTAAAGTTTTACAAGTAACAGCAGTTAAATTTTTTTAAATTATAAAAAGTTTCGTTGCCTTGGTTTATCTTATCAGATTTTAACACTAAGAACCTGGTTTGATTCAATATAGGTATTAGTAACCTAGAAGCTTCTAATTTTGTTATTTAGTTATATTGTCATGTACTCACGTTTGAAGGAATATATATTTTGAGATCATTGTTCTTATCTGGTAGCTTTACTTGAAGCTAAATTTAGCACCCTAACCCCTTTAAGCATTCAAGATTAGTTTCTTGCGTACCCTTTAACAAATCGGGCTAACCTTATAAATACGAGACCTATGCTCCTCACATAGTGTCAACTACTTTGTTCTTTAAATAGCACAAGCGCTGGCATGATGATGTATACACGTGACAATATAATAACTTAATAACAGATTTTATCTCATACAAAACATGAATACACAGTGAATTCAAGCAACATTGAAACCCTTTAGTGTCAATTGCTTTAATAATCAACTTTTAAAATGACTAAATGACAGCTGGGAATATGATCACATCTCATCATATAGCAAGAAAGTACTTAAGTATAGAAAGGCCATGAGCTGAAATCAGTGTGAAACTTCCCCCACCAAGGGTACCAATAGCAGAGTCTAAAGATAGCCATAAGAAAAAGCTTAATGATATATTGATATATTATAGGATACATTGGAAAGAAGAAAGGAAATTCTACTAAAATGTAGATGAAGCAAAACAGTTTGTTGGTTTAGGTTAGCCATAAGGAAGGGGGAAACATATTGGAAGACTGAAAACTAGCTAGGGGGAATTCAGAACATGAAGATTTCCAGCTCTACCAACAACACTAATCAAGAAGGCTCTCATATTTAACTAGAGGTAGAATAAGAAAGAGGCTTGTATTTCACTTACTAATGTACATTACACCTCTCTTTGAATATAATTTACTTACAATACAAATTTAAAGAAAAAAACAAAGATAAAAGGCTGAAATATAAATTCCTCACTATCTAATTCTCACCGTCTGATGTCCATATATATACCCATACCTCTCATAGGTTCAAGAGAAGGCAAGATAGGCTGCTATACAACTGCAAAAGGGCATTCCTTAATGGCTAAAAAACCAAGGAAAAGGTGAAAATCAATGCCAGAATGCCATATGTAAAATTGTTATTAATGCAACCCTCTCTTTCGTTTACAATCTGAATTGTAAAATTGTCGTCTTGGTACTCTCACTTACATATTTCAAGCTATAATTCATATTAAATTGAGGTTCAATTTGAAATTCCAACTTTAAATATGTATTTTAATTCTAAAAAACGAGGGAAGGCTTGTGAACTTACCACATTAAAAATAAGCATAAACTCATTTCAGTACCAGTGTAAGTATAACAACCTTGAAAACTTCAAGTACTCAAACCCAAACAAAAATAAACTTATACTCTATGTCTCCCTCTATCTGGATTTAATGTCACATATTCCTTAAGCCTAATTTCAGTTATCACATTTTCTTAAACAGTCAAATTTAATTGTGACATGTTTTCTAAATATATAATCTCCAAACTTAAACCCAATAATATCAATTAGGGAAGTGAATATTCAGACCTTTAAATTATTAACAATAACTGTTTTTGGGACATCCCAAAACCACTGGTACATAATTGAGCATCCTACTTTTTGTTAAGGTGTGTTTAATAGATTATATAAACCAATTTGAAGTTTTAACTATTAGCTTAAGTTTTTGGCTAAGTTGGTGCTTTAACTAGTCATTTTAAGCCCAAAAGGCTCTCATGTGACGGGACGTGATATATATAAACCAATGAGGAGGCTTCAACTATTAGCTTAAGCTTTTTATTGAGACAACAATGTGACAACTAATATGGACGAAACAATTCATCAAACACATAGATTACTTTCCCCTCACCCTTAACATCAACAAACAACCAAACAATTACTAAGCAAATATAATTAAATAGAAAACCAATTAAAGACAAATGTTAGAAATTGAGGCAATTGAGAAGATGATGAGAATTAACATACCATCAGAATACGAGTACGAATCAGGAGAAGAGATTAATGGAGCATGGAGAGAAGGTGGGTAATGTGAGTCCGGGTACGAAGCCGCGCTTCGAATTTCCTCAACGCTGAGTTTAGCACCAGCCATTGATGCGGTAGGAATTGCTGCATTTGTACTTCCTAAGTATTGATAAGAGCTCCATCTTTGACTCTCACCTTCCCCTGCTTCACTTTTTACGCTCTCTATTCAAACAACAACAATAGCAATAATTAGATGAACTTTTCTAGCCCAATTGAACAAACAATTTTTGAAATTTCTCGATAATTTGAATTCAAATTAAAAACACAGAAACGGGTTTTAGAAATTTACCTTGAAGCAATGGCTGCTGAATGATTTGCTGATCCATTTGGACAGGAAGTTAATCGGTAATTGGTGGAATTTTGGTTTATACAAGAAAGAACTGGTGAATATTAATCAGAAGAAAATTTGTGTTTTATGTAATTGTTGGAAATGTATTTCTTAAGAAGGAAGGAAGGAAGGAAATGAGTCAAATACTCAAATGATGACAAGAAGTGAATAGACAGATGTACGTGGGTTATGCGCGTCTTGTGGGGAACGGAAGATAGATAAGATCATTCGGTATTTTGTTTGATAAAGGCCTGTTCTTACTAATGGCCGTATATGGGTATTGTGTAGTTGTTGACGTCGTATATGTTGCCCGAGCAATTGGTCTTAGCTGCATAAGTCTAGCTACAACAATATGCGGCCTAAAAACGTGCGGCCCAAACCAACCTCCTTCATCCAATTAAAAGCAGCCCAGACAACATACCTCCCTCAACCCTTCAAAGTAGACCTGATCAAGTCTGGCCCGGGCCGACACGGCCCGGATTTTGCCCGGGTATGGGCAGCAAGTTTAGGCCCGAAATTCGGGTTTGGGCAAGCAAGTGTTGGCCCGAATATTTTCTGAGCGGGTCTGGCCCGTGGCCAGGCCCGCCCTGGCCCGAAATAAGACATGTGTACAGCATTAAAATAAACTACAATATAAATTAATTATTAAAATCTGATCAATAGGGTAAGCTAATACACACTGAAACAAAATTCAAAGTTATCAGCAATTTAAGGGAAAAGTGTAGTAAATGGGGACCTGTCTTGCGTATTTTTACCCAGGACACGTGGTCCAATGGGAAGGTGACACATGTCACCTCAGGAGAGATTCCCAAAGAATCAATCCCCTGCTGACACGTGGCATCCCCAATAATTAGGAAAAATGGCAGCTTTTCTGGCCCAATTCCCGAGGAAGCCCACCGTTCCTAGGTCTCCGTAACCTAAGATGGCGGCACGCATTTCGAGACCCTATAAATAGGGAGATGTTCCCATCATGGGACTCATTCATAAATATACACAAAAAACAGAGCAATCATTAACTGCAGATATTCTCTCGGTATCCGAGAAAATACTTTACTTTCCGCACTTTTTACAGACTCCATACACGTTCAAACTTGATCATTGGAGGCGGAACTCTACCCACCCGGAGTCTCCGTTATTTTGCAGGTACAGGCGTCCAGAGACCAGTCTTGGAATTGTAACTCTCCCGTAGGACATCAAAAAACCCCGAAACATTTGGCGCCGTCTGTGGGGAGAGTACTTCTAAGATGACTTCGCAAGAGCCTGTACCACCTCATAATGAGAAACGGCCCTTGGCCGGAGTAGAGGTCTATACAGACCAAGACAGTGGTGACGACTTCAATGTTGACACCTATGTGGCCCCAGACGGATCACTTAGAGCAAGGCGCACCCGTTCCTTAGAAATAAAGGAACGGAGTATTGATCAACCAAGCATGGGTGTGCCAATCGTACAACCGTCTAAACCCCAGGCGACCAAACGTGCAACCCCTGTCACTCGAAAAGAGCTCATAGAATTCATGACAAGTTTCAAAGGGGAAATCAAGGATCTAATCAACAAGAAGACGGCTGGCTCTAGCAGGGGTCAGTCGGCCAAGAAGAAAAAGCCAGTCAAGGACCGTGTGCCTACTCCACATCCCAAACAAAAGGATGAGAACCGGCCCTTGTTTGATCTGTCTAAAATCCGATTCCCTGAAATAGGGAAGAGGAAGGTCATCCGGCAAGTTCAGCCGGATGGATCAAAAGAGACTTACTCGGATGCCCGGATGTTAATCCAGCAAAAGAAAAAGTCAACAATTGTCTGAGTTGGCTTCAACGTCGACTTACCCGGACAACTTTCAGAATACTTCAGTATTTGCTATCAAACCGAGAGGGTCAAGCAGGCGGTCTGTCCGTTCATTCTGGCCTCAGAAAATCCATTCGGCTCCGTATGTGCCCCAACAACCATACATGTCGTATGGACCACAACACATGCAACCGGCCCTCTTTGGGGGTCAGGCGACACAAAATTTTCAGCCAATGGATTGGCAGCTTCGGCTACTAAAACTTGGGGAGCAGCCGTCGGCGTTCCTAGGGAGATAACCGAGGCAGCACAGCCGGCCAAGGTTAAGAATGTGCTGGTTGGTACCTGTGACGGTACCACCAACCCGGAAGATCACCTAATGGCGTACACCAACCTCATGTATCTACAGGGGTTAGATGATGCCGCTTGGTGCCGATGCTTCCCGGCGACGTTGAAGGGCACATCCCAACGATGGTTTGACAATTAGCAAGCCGGCTGCATCAACAGTTTCAAGACGCTCGCATACCTGTTTGCGTCCAACTTCTCTATGAACATCCCCGCCAAAAAAGACAAGTCTTGACTTGGGAGCTATTCAGCAGGGGGATAAAGAAGGGCTGAGGTCCCACGTTAGGCGGTTCAATCTGATGAGAATTCAGATTCAAGGGTTGTCCGACGAAGTTGCCTACACAGACTTCTTTAAAGGTCTGAAGGACGGGTCGACCTTTAAGTTCGATCTCGTCAGGAAGAGGGTCGCCACCCTTCAAGAGGCTCTGATGGAGGCGAAAGCCTATATACAGGCTAATGAGTTTTGTGCCATCAAGCAGTCGTCGGACTCTAAAAATTCCGACAAAAAAGAGAGTCGGTCTGCTCAGCCGGCTAAAAACGAAGAGAGCAAGAAAAGAAAAGAAGTCTGGGTGGCGGACAATTCTGGTCAGCCGTCCCAGAAGAAGAAAAAAGAGTTGAAACCCGTACGTTCCATAGTACGAGTTCAACAAGGTCTGCTACTCCATCCTCATGGAGATCAAAGACCGGGTGACTATTGAGAAACCGGCAGCAATGAAAAGTTCCACCAAAAGTCAGGACAAAAACAAATACTGTCATTTCCATGAGGATATAGGCCATGACACCAATGACTGCTATAGCCTCAAGCGATTGTTGGACCGTCTGGCTAACAAAGGGGTACTGAAATCCTACATTCTGAAGTCTAAGGTGACCCTTAGAACCAATAGTGGGCAACCGTCCAAAAAGCCCTACCAGCTTGCTATAAGCTTAGACATTGATGAAGAGCAGATTTACACTATTACAGGGGGTTTTGCTGGAGGGGGTCCTACCATCCCGGGCACCAAGGACTACGTTAGAGGGCTCGATGTTAACTCAGTTGATAAGGGTCAGACGTCGAAGGATACCTTCCCTGAGGTCGTCATCTCAGAGAAGGATAGGGGTAAGGTCAGGCATCCACATGATGATCCAATAGTCATCGAATGCAAGGTTGCCAATCAACGAGTGGGCCGGATTCTCATTGATACCGGGAGCTCATCTAACCTTATCAGCTACAAGTGCTTGGCAAAGCTCAAGTATAAGCATAACAGCTTGCACAAAGTTTCCCATCCCTTAGTCCGTTTCGGGGGTGGGGTAGTGCATCCGGTGGGGAGGATTGACCTACCCATCCGACTAGGTGAAAAGGGGGAAGGACGACACATGGTCGTCAAATTCCTGGTGGTTGAAGAATTGACCGCCTATAATCTGATTTTGGGCCGACCAACCCACAATGAGTCCAAGGCAGTCATCATCCCATCCCTCATGCTGCTGAAATTCGAGAAAGATGCTGGGTCAGTGGGTTCCCTGAATGGGGATCAGAAGACGGCTAGGGAATGTTATCTCTCAGACGTTTAGCCTACTGTGGTTGCAGCCGGCCAAGGCGAAGAGCCCACTAACCTTGATGACTTCAACGAAGCGGCGCCTGCTCCTAAGGCAGTCGGCAAAAAGAGGAAGGAGAACCACTTGGTGGCCGTCAAGAAAGAAAGACAATAGCAATCACTGACCGGAGAACGACCGTATGAACTCCGTCCCTAGTCGGCTGGTGAACACATTGATATTGTTCTGGATGAAACTCGTCCAGAACGTACTGTCAAAGTGGGGACGACTACTTTTTCTAACTTGGGTGCGGACCTGCACAGCCTATTGAAAGAGTTCAAAGACATCTTTGCCTTTGAAGTAGAACAGAAACTCGCTGTCCACAAACTCGCCGTGGATCCAAAAAAGAAGCCGGTTAGGCAAAAGAAAAGAAATCACGGCACCGAAAGGTCTCAGGCGGCTGCCGCCGAGGTCAAGAAGCTGATGGATGCTGGGTTCATTCGGCAATGTTACTACCCAGATTGGGTAGCAAACATTGTACATGTGAAGAAGCCGAATGGTACTTGGCGCATGTGCGTTGATTACACAGATCTGAATAAGGCGTGTCCGAAGGATAGCTATCCACTCCCAAAAATCGACAGTCTGGTTGACTCTACTGCCGGTCATGCCTTGATGAGCTTTATGGACGCCTACTTAGGCTTCCACCAGATACCCTTGTGGAAAAAAGATCAAGAAAAGACGGCATTCATCACTGATCAAGGGTTATTCTGTTACACTGTATGTCGTTTGGCTTGTAGAATGCACCTGCTACCTTCCAACGAATGAAAATACAGTCTTTCTTAATCAAATTGGGAGGAATGTAGAGGCTTACATAGAAGACATAATAGTCAAATCAAAGCAACAGGCGGATCACCTTGCTGACCTCCGAGAAACGTTCACCACACTTAGGCGGCACAAGGTCATGCTCAATACCAAGAAGTGTGTCTTTGGTGTTGAGTCTGGGAAGTTTCTCGGATTTTTGATTGATCAAAGGGGGATAGAGGCCAATCTAGAAAAGGTACAGGCGGTAATTGACATGAAGTCACCCCGCACTTTCAAAGAAGTTCAAAAGTTAACCGGTTGTTTGGCGGCGTTGGGGAGGTTTCTCAGACGGTTAGGTGACAAGTGCCTCTATTTCTTACAAGCAATCAAAAAGAAAACGAGATTTGAATTGGAAGAGGATGCTGAGGCGGCATTTTAGAAGTTTAAGGAGCACTTGCACTCGTTGCCAAAGCTGGTAAGCCCTCCACCACAGGAGGTTCTTTACATGTATTTGGCCGTCTCAGACCATGCCCTCAGTGCCGTACTCTTGGCTGAAAGAGACGGTGTTCAACTTCCGATTTATTTCATTAGCCATGTTCTTCAAAATGCTGAACTGCGGTACCCCATGGTTGCAAAATTTGGCCTCGCTCTTTTCATGGCAGTCAAGAAGTTGAAACCTTACTTCCTGGCACATCCGGTTGTGGTATATACAGACCAACCTCTCAAGCGGCCAATGACAAACTTTGGAGTCATCTGGTAGGATGCTCAAATGGGCTATTGAAATGCAAAGTTTAGAA